ACCTGTTTTTGTGAACCGAAGCCTTCAATCTCCAAAAAACTCTGTTTTTCTCAACGATTATCACAAATTAGTAACAAAAGGTTTTGATTCACAGCTTTAAGATCAAAATGCCTACAAATTTTGAAAGAATCATGCCCTATTTGGCATGAAATTTCAGAAAAGGCGGAAACCTTAAACCCCGATTTTTTCGTGATCTAAAAACAACCAATTTTTCCACCATTTAATCTTTGAAAAAGCTGAATAAAGCTGTTTACAGCCTGAAAATCAGATCACATGCCAAAAAAAACAAGAAAAATGATAAAAAAATGACAAATTTCAAAGAATCCCGTGAAGAACACTGTGCAACCCGTGTTCTTCACGGACTCGCCGATTCTGCACAGTGAATCGGCGAGTCACTGTGCGAAATCGTCCGGTTCTCTCTAGAACCGGACGATTCCCGTTTTTTAAACCGATCCGGTCCATTTTCGTGAATTCCGAGTCGAACCGGGCGAGTCCGGTTCGACACGGTGATTTTTAAAACGCTGGGCCAAACTATTATGGTGTTCTATACTTCTTGGTTGTTAGTGAAAGAGGACTATGTGATCTAGCGCAATATGTATAGTTTAAATTTTTTCTTTTTTTCTCTTTTGCAATACCGGCTAGAACACTTGCATATGTTTAAAAATTTACAATCTTTGTTAAAAAATAAACTCCAATACAATCTAGGATCTTCTCTGGCGTACCATTGCAATTCTATATAATTAAATAAAAATACAATGCATGAAGAATCAAGAAATAAGGAGCCATTAGAATTATCGAATACCTTGCCTCAGGTTACCCCCAAGGACTTCGTACACCGACTTTTCTCTATCAATGGTGCACGGGATCTTGGTCTTTCTTGAATCTCAACAAATGAAAGCTTTGGCTAAACCCTCTTCTTCAAAGTATGAGAGCATGTGTGTGCACAACATGGGGCTTTTCCTCTATCAAGGGCGTGCCCCCCTTTCTTTATTGACCACCTAGGGGCCCCTTTCTTTCTTTTAAAAACCTTGGAGAATATGAGAGTGAGAGATGGGAGTAGAGGTGAATCGGCGATCCGGATCGGGAATCGGTTGAATCGGTCGGATTACAGCTTCAAAAAAATCTGAAAAAATTATTAAAATGCATTATAAATATTGTTTTTTAAGAATCCAATAAGAAATGAGGGTACTACATTATTAACTTTGATTTTTTTCATCAATTTGTGAATATTGAGAGGCTCTTGTATAAACTTAAGTATTAAATTTGTATCACATAAAAGAAAAATCATAGAATTTTCATTGATAAAATATATAATTATACATGGAGACTAAATCAATGAAAGAATGGCCATTGAAATCTCGTTTTGGCAAAAAACCCTAATTCGTTAAAAAAACCCAAATTATTACAGCCTAACTATCTATAATTCAAAATTATTATATAATTATTAGTTTACATTTTATAATTATTTTATTAGACAAATAATAACAAATTAAAAATATTTTATAATATTATCTAATTTAAAATGTATTATTGACAACTGTAAGAAAAATAGTACATTACATGATTTATAATGTAAAATTTAATAAATAAAATAAAAGATTTGGTTATCACTGTAAAAATTAATAAAATGCATACAAATTTGAAAATAACACTTCAATTTTTCAAAAATTTATTTTTTTAGGTTTCTATAATAAATTTAGTGAAAGTGATTGTTAGTAGAAAGATGGAGATTTCAAATAGAATAAACTTTTTATTTTTTATTTTTTTATGCCTTTCATATTATTTACAAAAATAATTATACCACTATATACAACAAAAATTAACTGTTATACAAAAAATTAATTTTTTTATTTTACATTTTTTATGCCTTTTATATTATTTACAAAAATATTTATACCACTATATACAACAAAAACTATTATACAACTAAAATGCAACGTCCAAGGGGATTCGACTTTAGGAGGTCAAGTAAAGTAACAAAGGTTATAACCATCCCGCTGTCTCACTGCATGTGATTATAAGTTGCTGATTAATAGAATATATTTACATTCCGTTTTCGTTTAGTGATGTTTGGAAATTATCTCACATCGAAACATGGGTATTCAACTTTGGTATATAAATACTTATGTATTATGAATTAAGGTATTGGCGCGGAAACATTGGGGCAACCTCACACGTGATTTTGTCGCACGTGTCCGCTTGTCGCACGTGTCAACCGGCAGTTCTGAGGTCACCACTTCGAACCGCCGGTTGATGATGTCATCGGGCGATTTATCGCACGTGTCCACTTGTCGCACGTGTTCATGTGGGCGTGTTCGCTTGTTGCACGTGTCAACCAAGCGAACACGTGTCAACCGGCGGTTATGATGTCACCACTCCAAACCATCGGTTGATGATGTCATCGGGCGGTTTACTATTTAAAATCGCTCGTTTCTTTCTAAACACGAGCGGTTCTCATATTATGTGTGGAACCGCCTCGTTCTGTGGCGATTCTCGAGTCGAACCGGACGAGTCTAGCTCGACTCGGTATTTTTTAAAACCCTGGTTTAAATTATTTTTTAATATTATATATTATTTAAAGGGTGTGGTTTGTATAAGGCTAATGCCCTAAACAATCAAAGTAAGACGTACCTCGAAATAGTGTCGAAAGATGTTGTTTCAATATTGGAAATCTTTGTAAAGTCCTAAAAATTCATTTTCATATCTAATTATTAAATTTAGAGCCTCAAAAATACATTACATGATGCACTATTTTTAATACTTGAAATCCATTTTTTTTCATGTCCATATCTTGAGGCCAAGATGATCAATTTGAAGATTTTTGGACATTGAAACAACCTCTTCTAGTGAATTTTTGAGATGCATTTTAATTTGATTATTTAGGGCCTCACTCTTATATAAACTTTTTCTTTAAAAAATCGTTGTTGGATGTGCTCCCATAGTTAAAAAATATATATATATATTTAAAAAAAAATTAAATGCTTATGGCCCCCCTCAAATAATGCAATGCACCCTTTACCTTGAAGGGAGGAATGGATGCCATTGTACTAGTTAGTCCATCTGGTGACAGAGATGCTGGGGAAATTTTTTCAAACGGCACATTTGGGATCCACATTTTAAATACCAGATGATTATTTTTCAAAAAAATTGAATTA